CAGGATGAGTGAGAGAAAGAGTAGAATTTACTGAAGAAAAGAAACATAACTCTTGCACCGCGAGAGGGAATCCTATAACAGATTTTCCCCAACCCATGAGCTAGCCTAGGGGTTTAGGTAGCACGTGGGTCACTGCTATTGCTCCAAACATAGGCCAATTAGGGTGTGGAAAGGTAACAATGCTGCTGGTCAGCTCTTGAGTCCTGACTTCCATTCAGCTCTGCCCCACTTCTGTCCTCTCCCAGGGTCAGAGAGTGGGGGGCTGAGGTCATGGGATGGTCTATTCTTGCAGGTCCTGGCCTGTACTGCTGTGTGGAGCCGGCTTCTGCAGCCCCAGCTGCTCCATGCCTGGGCCTGGCTGCTGAAGGGTGACAGGTCGCACCTGGGCTCACGGTGCCGCAGGCCCGCCATGCCTGAACGGTGGCCTCCATTGGACTGCAGGTCACACTTTAAACTGCACTCTGCAATACCGGGCCCACTCTGCTGCCCACTCTGCTGCCCACGGCTGCTTCTGGGCAGGAGCGAGTAGGCCGGCTCTGAGGCTGCCAGGAGCCGCGTCACTTTTGCTTACTCATGGGGTCCTTACTCAGACATTTGGATTCCAGGAACCCCCTACTCCTCCCAGGACCATCTGCTACTGTTCTGAGGCCCTGCCACGGCTATTGGGCACCTGGGATAATAGTCTCCTCACTAAGGAAATCAAACGGAGGAAATCCAGACCTGTGTGCTAGCCGGAAAAATTGACCTCTGGACCTTCCTCCACAAAATGGTCATCCTGGAGTTGTCCATCGAAGGTGGAGCATGCAGGGCAGAGTAAGGCCACCTTATTCCACCCCCCCAATCTGCCCTCCTCTTTCTCCTCAACTCAGTACTCACTAGTTCTCCTGCTACCTCCAGAGGGGAAAACCCCAGGGGTCACCCAGTGGGCGTGACAGTGGGTTCCAGAAAGACCTAAGGAAAGCAGAGTCGTGCGGGCTGGAGGGCCGGGCAGAGGGCAGCCCACGAGGGAGTGAGGAGGTGCTCAGGACCTTCCTCAGCCCCACGTGAAGCTGGAAGGAGCACAGGGTGGTTCAGCAGACGCTTGCCACGGAGCTCCTGAGAGCACGGATACGCAGACCGTGCTCAGGACCAGAGAGCTCCCGCCACGTTTTATAAAACAGTGCTGGGGCCATAGCTCAGTGGTGGAGCACCGCGGGTTGCATCCCCAGAACCACATCATACATCTAAGGCAGGTGGTGGCGGTGGTTGTACGCCTCGTGAATACACTGAAACCTTTGGATTCTGGACCTTAACGGAGAACTGTCTGGTATGTGAACTATCTCAAGAAAGCTGCAGAATAAGGAGGAAAAACAGGAGAAGAAGGGAAAGACAGTGGAGGAGGAGGAAGAGGAGGAAGAAAGAGGCAGCTGGTCCCGAAGGCTTTCAAGTGCACATTGGCCGAGGCCAGAGCCTCTCCTTCCCGAGTTCGGAGGGTGGGAGGTGGCCTCTCGGGTCTTTAGCTGGGTCTAGAGATGGGATTAGCACAGGCAGGTTAAGAGAGGAGCCGGCAGGTCCTCAGCGCAGGTCCACGTGGGCATCCCCACGGGACAGTGAAGACTGAGACCCGCCAGAGCCAGACGCTTCTGTTCCCTTAAGACAGAGCATGGTAAATGGTGGAGCATGGTGACAAAGGAGGGCAGGAACAGCACCGAAAGCAAGCACCTGGGAAGGCTTAGGGGAGAGAGTCCTGCTGCAGATCCCTCTGGCTCTGAGCTGACGAAAGTCACCTCCAGAAAAAGAGGGTCTAGGTTCCCTCGTCAGGCAGGAAGGGGAAGCAGGAAGTCTCCTGCAGCCACACTTTCTTCAGCTCCACCCCTCGATCCTCTAGGGAGAGATGTTTCCAATTCCTTCAGCTTTGGGGAGGTGCTAAGGTCCAGTGGTCACAAGTGTGGGCTCTGGAGTGACGAGGGATGAGTTGGGTCAGACAGGCTTCCCCACCTACCCACCTAGTGACTCCTGGAATTTGGGTATCTTCTACACAGTGTTTCCACTTTTAACATGCTTTGGACCCCTGGGGGGCCTGTTAGGACACACACTGCCAGAGCCACTGATTCAGTAGGTCTGAGTGGGGCCAGAGAATCTGCATTTCTAACAACCAGGTGTTGCTGATGCTGCTCGCCCCAGGACCACACCCTGAAAACTGCTCATTAAGATTTAGTCCCAGGGCCTGTCCAGTGCACTTGGCAAATAACTGCAGAAATCCACAGTGAAAATTAGGTGTGAAGATATGAAAAACTATTTTATTTGGCAATTTCTAAAWGTTGAGTTATAATTAGTGACCACAGTTTTGATGGAATGATGGGAGTGATTGCAGAGAAGGACTCAGAGGACTGGGAGTCATGTCTTTCCAGCTCTAGGCATTTGGTCCAAAACACTCTGGGACCACAATTTCCTTCTCTGTGAAAAATGTGTCCCCACAATGCCTCGTTGGTACGTGCCATAAAGTCGTGAGGAAGACAATCTGCTAACCTGGTTGAAATGCCTGGTGACTATCAGTGCATTAAACCAGCGTTCTTATCCCTGCTCTCGGAAACCACTTTCTGCCTGGCTTTCAACTCTAGCAGAGCCTCTGCCGTCTCTGGAGTCCCCTGAGGCACTGCAAGAGCTGAGCTGCTTTCCACGCTCTGCGGCAGGAATCTACACCCAAATAGGCCTCAAGTATGAAGCTTTTGCTTTGGCACATTACAGGAAGTCCAGTCACAGCAGCCTGATTGTCAAACAGGAGGGGTCTGCAGAGAATGTGGACCAGGCAGGGCCTGGAAATGGTTGGAAAATAAATGGATGGTAAGGATAAATGCTCACAATGATTTGCACAGTCTCGTGGAGCTCTTTAAGGTTTACAATTTCTCATAAGCCATGCCCTGATTGCAGGATACAGCTCACGAGCATCAGGATGGTAAAATAAAATAAAAAAAAAAACACTTTAGAGTCGTGGTCCTCAGCCCTGACCATGCAGGAGAACCACGCTAGGAGCTTTCCAAGGATGCCATCATTTGGGCCTTGCTCCGAGGCCTCTGGCCTGAGCGGTGTGGGGGTGGCTCAGACGATGGTGAGAATCACCCTCAGAATCTGAGTTCTCTCTCAGCTGGGAGGTGTCCAGTTTCGAGCTCTGGGCAGTTACTTAGGAACAGAATAGACTGGTGGGAGAAGGTGGCGCTGAGAACCAGACTGGGACTCACACACCTGTTCACCTGTTCATGATCATCAGGGCACATTCACACACACACACACACACACACACACACACACACACATGCATGCACACACACGCACATAAATGTGCGCACACACGCAGTGGCTTAACTCTCAGGTGTAACTTTGGTTCTCCTTTGAGGCTACCTTGATCTGTAATCTGGCCTGAATGCCTCTTGGGAAGTGGGCTATGGGTAGGGCCAGGGTGGGACTCAGAGGATAATTTTTCACTGACTCTACCTTCTTGAGAATAGTGGTTCTTGAACATTGGTGTGAATCAGAACCACCTGGAGGGCTGGGTTGGGGCTCAGTGGTAGAGCACTTGCCTACATGTGTGAGGCACTGGGCTTGATTCTCAGCACTGCATCTAAATAAATAAAATAAAGATCCAACAATAACTAAAAACAAATTAAAAAAAAAAAACACTGGAAAACATGTTTAAAGTAGAARTAGAGCTCAGGAGTTGGCACTGAAGGAGATTCATGGCTCTTCAGGTATGATCAGTCGATGACCACAATGTCATGTACCTTATGATGCAGCAATCCCAATCCAGGTATTTACCAAATGAAACAAAAAAATTTGTTCACCCTTCACACAAACACCTGTACATGTTTATAGCACTTTGTTCATAATTATGACTATGTAATTTTACAAAATTAACTTTCAAATCCTGAAAACGACCAAATGCCCTTCAAATGGTAAAGGTCTGAACTACCTGGGGTTCATCCTTACCAGGGAACCCTCCTCAGAGGTAACAGAACTGAACTACAGCACAGTACTGAAGAGCGGTACGCCAAGGGCAAGAAGGACACACGGGGTACGCAGATTTGATTCCATTCATTTGACATTGGAACAGGCAAAACTGCAGGAACAGAAAGTAGGTCACTGTGTCCAGGGACCTGGGGTTCGTAAAGGGCCTGGCTGCAAGGGACAGAGGGGTGCGTGGGATTGACAGGACCCTTTACCTTGATTACRGTGCTGCTTACCCAACTGAATGCCCAGGGTCACAAAAGGAGACTTTATTACATATAAATCGTACCTCAACCAGAGACAACTCAGTGTGAAGGAAAGGACAGTGAAGGGTAAAAGTGGTTTATTCAGATTTAACCCACGGTGTAATCTGAGAGCAGAGCAGTTTCTAGATGTGGGCGGGTCCGATGGCAGATGCTCAAGGGTGGAAATCATGCCGACTGATCTTTCCATGGGCACAGTACTTCCATAGGCAGCTGGGGCCTCCCGAGAGCCACCCTGCCACCAGGACACCCACACTTGGACTTGGGGTTCAACTGTGTTGGGCTAAGACCACGTGCCCAGGTTTGCAGGCCTCTGGGTGACGCTGTCCTTCTTCCCACTATTGAGATAGCTCTGTGGACATCCCTGTGAGGGGCTGTGTGGAGCACAGGTCCAGGGGTCGGCAGTGAGGGGTGGCGTGGCAGGGGGTGGCGTGGCAGGGGGTGGTGTAGAGAGACAGGGGCTTTCCCAGGCCAGTGTTCCTAGGGCAGAGGACCAGTTGGCTCTTGTCATCTGTCTATAGAGTCCTCCTCTCTCCGGGGACTTTCTCCAGCCCACACGCTCCCTGCATGTTCCTAGAATTCCACCTTAAAACAAGCTGGATGCACTTACGGCCAACTTCTCAGCCTGGAAAAGTTTCACTTAAGCGATGACACACTGCACTTGGACCCCGTTCACCCACATCTGGAAGCCACATGTCGACGGCAGCTGTATAAAAGTCGGCCCGGCAGACCTAGGGTGACATTGTTTTGCCAAACGCCAGCAAGCATGGACCTCACTGTCCTGTGGGTGCTCCTGCCGCTGGTCACCGTGGCCTGGGGCCAGTATGGCGACTGGTACCCGTACCAGCAGTACCAGCAGTACCAGGACTACAGCGATGACGGGTGGGTGAACCTGAACCGGCAGGGCTTCAGCTTCCAGTGTCCCCACGGGCAGGTGGTGGTGGCTGTGAGGAGCATCTTCAGCAAGAAGGAGGGCTCTGACCGGCAGTGGAACTATGCCTGCATGCCCACGCCGCAGCGCCTGGGGGAGCCCACGGAGTGCTGGTGGGAGGAGATCAACAGGGCCGGCATGGAATGGTAAGGCTGCCGGTGGGGCCGGCAGGTTCTGCTCACGCCCCTGGGGCCCTGGACTCTCAGGGGATGGGGTGCCCACCGCCTGGCACATCCTGCACCACGCCTTCCCCGCACCTTCCCCTGGCACTTCAGGTGGGGCAGGGCTGCCCGGGGCAGACAGGACACAGACCCCAGGTGGCCACCCGCAGGTGGGCTCCCTGAGGTTTTGTTCCTTCCAGGGATAGAACCTACTCGTGATTGGGTCCAGGGGCTGGTGGGGTCTGCAGAATGGACACTACAGGAACTGAAGTTGCTTAAGAAGCGTTGTGGTGACTTCACACTGCTGTGACACTGGAACCCCATTTCCATTTTGTAGATTTTTAAACTATTTTACAAAAGCATGAGTCTATAGAAGTTGGGTGAAAAGAAGCAATTGGACCCTCCACACAGAGAGTTTGAGAAATACTGATTTAGAGAGGTGACTGGGGAGAGGAGAGAGGAACTGGTTCTCCGGCCCTGCCTCCATGTTCTCTCAGTTGTGGGGACCAAGAACCTTCTCTCTGCCTAAACCTAGAGTGGGTTCTGTTGCAGGAACATAGTTACGGGAGGCCTCAGGAGAGAGGCCCTGTCCTCCCCTGAGGGTATGGGACGGGCTCCAGCTTGCACTTCCCCTAGTGGGAGCGAGTGGGGGTGACCGTCCAGCCAGGTCCAGCTCCAGGGGCACTCGGTCAGAAGCCCATCCCAGCACCAGCTTTTCACAACACCTGGGTGGAGCCTGGGCTTCGGGGTGTGGGGTGGAGGGCAGAGGGCAGAGGCCAACCTGGGGAGACAGGCCTGGGGAGCAGGAAGTCCACTGGCCAGCTGCCAGGGTGTGTCTGTGGAGCGAGCCAGACGGCTCTATGGGGGCTGCAGTGGCACTGTGTGGAGTGGGGGTGGGGAGGCTCCACCATAAAACAGGGGTCACACGACCACAGTCCAAGAAGAAGAGACACCAGTGGGTGGAGGAGTCAGGCGAGAGGGGCCTCTGACAAAAACAGCTGCTGTTTGTTGAGTGCTGACCCTCAGCAGGCACCAGGCTGAGCCTCTGTATGGATTATCTCATTTAATGCTCCAAACAAATCCATGAATCGTTCCATAGACAAACTGTGGTCTGAGAACTGGTGCTCCTCCTCAGCTGGGAAGCTGAGATTTGGATCCGGAAAGTCTTAGCTCCCAAGATGATGTGCTTAGCTGTGGTGACAGACTCCGAGAGGCACTCCTGCCACCCAGCCAGGGCCCTGGCCCTGAAGCTCACCCTCTGTCTGCAGAGCCCGGGCCACAAGACCGGGGCCAGGCTAGCCCTTCATCCTGGGTGAGGCGGATCTCTAGCTCAGGGCCAGCCTGAAGGGCCAGCCCRGTTACTGCAGCTGAGCAGGGGCCCCGCTGGCCTGGGGAAGGGTGGGCAGGGACAGCTGTGGGCAGGGAGTTGGGCCCAGAGGCTGCCTGCACAGCCCTAGTGGCCATCCTCGTCCATCCCTCTGCCTCTGGCACGCAGATTTAACAATCCCAAACCCCTTCAGACAGATGGCTGGCTCCAAGATCAGGCCTGCTTGCGGACAGGACAGAGTCCAGCACTCCCCGCAGCCAGGCTCGCTGCCGGCACGCAGCACGGAAATGACCCAGTTACACTGTCCCTTCAGGCCTCCGGTTCAGGCCCCTCATGTGGTTAGGGCCTCGCTCTGACAGCCTTTGTAGGGCAGCCGAACAGGAGCACTAGCCGAGCTCCTCAAGCGCAGCAGGACAGCCCTGCACTGAGTTGGGAGGACTGGGCGTGGATCCTGGTGCTACTGACCATGTGCCACGTGACCTTGGCCCAGGGCTCTGCTCTCCAGGCTCCCAGCTCATAGGAAACGGGCACTCAGCCTGGCAAGCTCTGCGGCCCAGGGAGGCACGGCGCAGCCTGGAAGTGCCCTGCTTTTCTTGCTGTCTGCAGATCCTTTTGTCCTCCCTGCCAGAGAGGGAAGCCAACGATGTCTAGTCTTCAACTTGCCAACTCACGGCTGGCTTGTCAGGAACCCCCAAGCAAAGAGGAAGGAGGTGACGTCACAGGTTTGGTTTGGCCCCTGGGAGTCTAGAGACAAGCTGACCGCCGTCTCCCCTCCTCCTCTCCGCACTCTGGTGTGCAGGGCCCAGTGACCCTTCCTTTCTCCCTTCCACCTGCTCTTGACCTTCTCCCCATCTGCTGATCACAGGCTGAACATGCAGAACAGCCTCTTTCCTGTGGGACTTGGCCGCCCCAGATAGATGCCAGTTAACCCCCAGGTATTTTTTCAGATGATCATGACTTTGAGCTCAGACTCCAGTCTCAGTGAAATATTTGAAAGGAAAGAAATTGCTCACAGGCTGGGGAGCAATCACGTCTGCCCWTTGGCTGCCAGCTCTTGTCCTTTCTGGGGAAAGCGTCTGTGGTTGTGTGCAACTTGGCCACCTTCCATAAGCAAATCAGCGTATGTTTTATTTTAAGAGGGGGAGAGTTGTGACCACAGTATTCAGGACCTGCCGGAGAACCTTGCTAATAATGGGGCACCATCTCTAAAGGACACTGCCATCAGAGCCCCRTGCCAGTAAAGCCACGGTTCCTCCTGTTTCTCTGCTGAAAACCCTGTCTTGGGATTCCAAGCCCAGACGCCCACCTCCACCACGATGATGACSATGATGGCCAGGAGGTGTGTGTTTGCCCTGAGGGCGGGCCTGAGCTACTCCAGGGGATGTTCGCTGACTTGGATTGGCATGGTCCTGTGTAAAGCAAGACAAAGCTGGAATGTTCTAGGGAAGCTGGGATGCTGAGTGGTGGAAGGAGCTCTGGGCTGGGATCAGGGAGGCTGGACTCACGGCTTCTGTGGTGTCATCTCTCAGCTCCGCGGCCTCAGAGAACTGACAGAACATGGAGTCAGGGCAGGGAGAACCATGGCATTCTGCTTGCCTTTGCCTCCACTCCTCTATCTTCTGCTCCTTACCCTGGCACAGGAAGAGAGATAAGGAGAGGATACCCTCCTCACATGTCGGCAGAGGGTGTTACCGGGATGCTACAGGAAAAGGTACAGAGGGTACAGGAAAAGGTACCGAGCGCTCTAAAACCAGTCTGCATCTCGACCCATGCCTGGCTCATGACTTCCTACCAATGGCAGCTCAGAAAGATCCAGTGAATGAGGCGTTTGATGAGGCCTCTTTCGGGCAAGGCAGATCTCCCAGAACTGAATTTGGAGGAAGAGTGTCCTGCGTAGGGCACCGTTTATACTAGAGCTGAATTTATGAATTCGCCCACGACAGTTCAGACAATGAGAAGAGAAGAAGGGAAACTGCCCCTCAGGGCTGTGTCGGTTTCCATAGGTGACGGGGCTCTGCACCGCCTGGGCCAGCCGCCCCCTTCCTGGTTGTGAGTCAGTGCAGGGCCCTGCCTTCCCTAGGTCAGCACTGCCCACCTCTAAGCTTCCTCTACTGCAGTAGCCGTATGGCCCAGGGGGTGCTGGTGTCCTTGGCCCCGTAAGCACGTGGTGAGCGATATGTCTCCTCAGTGCTAGAGGTGCTCCCGATTCCAACCCCGGCCCCCCTTCCCTGCAAGGTTCCCGTGAAGGAGGTCACTTTGCTCTGTCTTTGATTCCCAGCCTTCCCGTGTCTACAACCAGAGCTTGGCTTTATTGTTCACACCTCATTTTGGTTTTCCACATGTGCCAAGATGCAGAATGGTCTTTKAAGACCTCCTGAGCATCTCAGAGACACACCAGGGGGATTGCCAACGCATGTTCCTGCCGCAGGATGTGTCCCTGATTCAGTGTGCATTCTCCCATGGTCTTAATGTCTCCATAATTTAAAAAGTAGACCACTAAACTCTTTATTTCAAAAGCTTTAAAGACCAAATGTCACACGGCATCTGGTTTGAATCCTGGAACAGAAAAAGGGCATTAGTAGAAAAACTGGTGAAATCCCAGTGAAGTCTGAGATTGGGCTGGTTRCTTCCTTATGAGGCACAAACACCCCCAGGTTCTGAAAGTAGCCCCCAGGGCAGCCAGGATGGAGGGCAGACATCAGTCTCATGGGTTGTCTTTAAAGCTCTTCGGTAAGTGTAAAGCTTCCTCAAAATGAAAGGCTAACAGGCACATAAAACCGAAGGCTGTGGAGTACACCTGGAATTTAAAAGGCAAACTGACCATCGCCCAAACCAGGAATCCCAGGACGGGAAGGCCCTGGGAGCAGTCACACCACAGATTAGGAGGTGGAGCCCCAGGGAAGTACAGCTGAGAAGACCGTGAAACRGACATTACTGCAAGCTCTGTGGTCCTGACCCAGATCCACGTGTGGCCTATGATCTAGTCCTTGTTCATACGCTTTCCTCCATCCAGTGCTTATGGTTGTTAACTTTGCAGACTGAAGGGATCTGAGGGTCCCTCACACAGGGTCTGTGCTCTGGACTAGGTCCTGTCCAGCCTTGTGGGCTTCACCACCGCAGTGGAAAGCGGGCGTACCCGCTGTGTCTGTCTGAACACGGCAGACCAGGGCTCTGAAGAGGGAGACCCACCACCGGCTCATGGCTCAGGAAGGGCAGGGCAGCCAGCCGGACGTCCAGTGTCAGGGTCAGCGGAGAGGTGCTGATCAGGCCGTGGTGTGGGCTGAGCCAAAGAAGTCATCGAATCCACGCAGTGAGGGCTTCTGAGGACAAGAAGGCCGCGGGGGAGAGCGGGTTGGCAGATCTAGGACTCCTGCTGACCTTCCTTCCCTCCAAGTCACTCTCAGTACCGGGAACCCGTTGTCTGGGAGCAAAGCGCTCTTAGCTCTTGTAAGGAAGGCACAATCCACTTCTTCCTTCAGAGATTTGCCTGTCCCTGGGCTCCTGCCCGCTACGATCCTCCAATCAGTAAGAGACTTGCAGAGTCGGGAGATGTGCGTGTGCTTCTGAACATCTAAGGACTTTGGAGTCAGACAGAAGATTCCCCAAACATAGCCCCAGCACGTCCTTGACCCAGCCAGGCCAACCCTCAAACCCTCAG